TATATATATATATGATTTTATTTATTTATTTGAGAAAGAGAGAGCATACAACAGAGAACAGGGAGAAGAGCAGAGGGAGAGGGACATAATTTCCAGCAGACTCTGAGCTGAGTGCACGGCCCATGATGCGGGGCCTGATCCAAGGACCCTAAGATCATGACCTAAGCCGAAACTGAGAGTTGGTTGCTTAACCGACTGAGCCACCCAGGCGCCCCCCTTTCTGGGTTCTTCCATCCCACCATTTCCTAGAGTAGAAAGGTTTTATGTGAGACCACTTAATCTATATTTAGAAAGCATCTGTAGATCCTTGCCACTCTCTGATTGACAGAGAGGGGGCCTCTAGTCACCAGAACTCCCCTATCCAAGAACGATGACTCAAGAACTAATAGCACATTAGGTCCTTGGGTTAGTGGAAATACTGGACCTAGATAGTCCCAAATTTCTGCGACATTAGCAAGAAGGGTTCTCTACTTCACTGTTCACAGAGTATCCACAAACTAGCACATAATATAAAATTATGTACATTCGATAACAAACAGTGAAACTTGAGACTTTTGGACAAATTGTGGGGAGAAGGTGGAGCAGCAGAATGAGAATATAATTGAGAAATTATTTTTAAAGAAATGGATTTTGTGGGACGCCTGGGTGGCTCAGTCCATTAAGCCTCTACCTTCAGCTCAGGTCATGATCCCAGGGTCCTGGGATCGAGTCCCGTATCGGGCTCCTTGCTCAGCAAGGAGCCTGCTTCTCCCTCTGCTTGCCACTCCCCCTGCTTGTGCTCTCTCTCTCTCCCTCTCTCTCTCTCTAACAAATAGATTTAAAAAAATCTTTAAAAAAAAGAAATGCAACTTTGTTAATATCTCTTAATATCCCTGGGTTCTTACTATCCCCATACTTAATATAACTTAATTACATTAATATAAAGATTAATACAATTATTAATTATATTATAAATTACCTATAATATATGTATATGTTAACATAATTATTCATATAATTTAGTATGATCTCTATGTTCCAACATAGCTTGCAGATCTACAGCATCATTTGAACATGGAAATTGAGCTGCTTAATGTCCTCACTTGAGTCCACAATTGCCCCCATAATTGATTTCATCTATCCACACTTGTCCCTCTCTCCCTGTGATTCCTTCACCCCATTTTACTCCTTCAAAAAGTTCATCACAATTAAAGTAAAATTAATGTTCATGTCATTAGCTGTTTATTTTCTATATCTTCTGCAGCCCAGAAGTTCCATAAGGGCAGGTCTGTGTCTCATTTACAGGAAAATCTCTACACACAAAGATGTGCAGCTCATAGAGGGCACTCCATAATTATTTGCAGAAATAAACAGAATCTGCTAGTCCAGACCCTTAGAGGACTGCTTAGACATAAATATACTATTTATATATATGCTATATGTAACATACATAGTGTGTACGTGTATATACATATATATGTATATATAGCAACTAAAGTGTTTAAAATACTTGAAAATAGTTTTAATTTATCAATGTTTTACCTTGCTGTAAAAAGACTAATTGGACATTATTTAAATGATCTCTCCTTCTTTCTTAAGTGAACCTGATTTTCTTAGCTCATATAGCCCCTGTGCAAATGACCGCATGTTCGATTTAATGGTGTGTATCTCAGAAACCTCTACAAGCTATGATCCCATTACTGGAGCCTGGAGGATGTAGGATTTACAAGGTGCAGTTGGAGTATCTCTCCTACATGTCCAAAGCAACAGTTTATCCATTCATTAAGTAATGGACTCCAAAACTACTACAGCATTGATTAAAAAAACGTCCTGATTCTATTTCTCTTTTGATTTCACACAAATTGATCTATGTCAGAGTGAGAAATGAAGATAATGATAACTCTAATAGCTGGAGATTATCTTGTTCTGTTTTGTAAATGAACAAGGAATAGATGAACTCTATATATGAATTGGGCGTGTAAAGAATACAAGGAACAGATGACATAATGTACACACAGAGCATGGCCCAGGAGCTGGCATCTAGCATGGTCTCAACACAGACCCAGCAAGGATTAAAAGACTAGACATGAAGCAGCCCTGAGCATGAGTCTTCTGCATCCCCATAGACACTGAATCCCATTTGTCCAGGAGCAGCTGGGTCAAGAGCAGCCTCAGCTCATGGGGGAAGGGATGATCCAGATTCATTAATTCTGGTTTTGAGGCACACTGTAGAAGCCTGAGTTGCATTTCAATTCATCTGCTTTCTGCTGACTATTCCAAGCCCTGTCTAGTTTCCCAAATTCACAGAAAATATTAACTCTCAAAGATGTGCTGACTATGAACTCACCAGACAGGTCCTAGCTCAGAGCTCATTTCCAGGGAGAGGCCATCTCTGGGACTCTGGCTCCCCATGGTCAACGCTACAGAACTCAAATGTCTTCTCTTTTCTCCAAATTAAGCATGCGGCAAGAGCATGGTTGGGACTAGGGGTCAAAAGTATGAATTCTGGAGTCACACTCTGCGGTTTGACTTGGAGCAGGTCGTTTAACTCTGCTAACCCTCATTTTTGTCATCAAAGAAGGTGGGGGGTAAGACTAGTCCCTACCTTGAGTGAAGGGGGAAAGCAATCGGAACCCTCAGTAAATGTGCAGTGTTGTTATTGCGCTCTTCAGAGTGGGGTTTGCTGACGGGTGAAGGTTTAGAAGAGAGGGGAGTCACTCTGCTCAAATATTCAAACTTCCAAGATGGAAAAGACAGTTTTTCAAACCTCCTTTTGCATTGCAGATTTCCCTTCTCTTCACTGAGATAATCCCCGTTTACCAAGCACCCAAAGAGGCCCATTCCTGCTTTGACCTCCTCTTTCATTCTGAACTGCAGAGCAGGAGACTCACAGTTTAGTTTCTGTCTCAAAGAGCACACACTTTAGAAGACCACTGGGGTCAGAATTGGTGAACTCTGGTGCTCAGTCACCTGGGTCCCTATCCCAGCTCTTGCTACCTGTGGGACCTTTAGACATTTTAGCTCATCTCTGCATCTCCCCTCCCTCCTGTGTGAAACGGGATGCTATTCAAAGTACCTGTTCACTCCACAAACATTGGTTAAGCGTATTCTATGGCTGCGCACTATTCAAGAATATGCAGTAGTTGGGAAGATTAAAAAAATTAAATGCACACGGGGTGCTCTGAACAGTGCCTGGCACATGCTCGGCCGTATAAGTACCACCCACAGGTGTTATCTTTGCAACTGCTTACAAATGGAAATTTATGAAGAAGATCAATGTTGGGAAAAGTCACTAACAAGAGAGGCTTCCCAGGCAGAGGGGCCGAAGAACTGATTTCAAGCCACCTCTCCTCAACTCACTGTGATCCACAACTAGCGGTTAAAATTCTTTAAGGCTCAAGTTTTAATTATCACAGGATTCATGTCATTCTATTTCTTCAGATTTCTCTTGAAATCAAACTTTATTAAAAATTATTCGTGATATATGATTTTTTTTTCAGGGAACGTCCCAACACCGCTCACCCATATTTGCCCCTCAAACCCTTGTCCATTGGGATCATCTACTCAACTCTGCGCCAATAGTTAATCAATCTTTTCTGTGTTACCTCCTAGTATTTCCATTCTTGTGTTTATTATTCTGTCCTTCTAAGTTTCTGATAATCTGCCTCTCTCCCCAACTCTTATTTCTTAGAAGTCCATGCTCTGCTCAGCTTCATTACATAAATACCAAACACAGTGCTTGGCACACGGTAGATAATAAATGTTTACTTTTAAAAATATGTATATCAGCTTTATTGAGGTAAGTGAACAGTATGATGACTTTTAGGAAATGTATACGGTTTTGCAGCCATTACCAACAATCCAGTTTTCGAACACTTTCATCACCATACAAACATGTCTTTCAAGCTCACTTCCAGTTGATCCTGCCCTCGGCAACCCCTCATCTGCTTCTTTTTTTTTTTTTTTTAAAGATTTTATTTATTTCTTTGACAGAAAGAGACAGCCGAGAGACGGAACACAAGCAGGGGGAATGGGAGAGGGAGAAGCAGGCTTCCCGCGGAGCAGGGAGCCCGATGCGGGGCTCGATCCCAGGACCCTGGGATCATGACCTAAGCCGAAGGCAGACGCTTAACGACTGAACCACCCAGGCACCCCTCTGATCTGCTTCTTAACTATAATTTTTGCCTTTTTTGGAAATGTCATGTAAATTAAACCATACATTTTTCGTTTGCCTATGACTTCTTTTTAGGTTTACATTGTTGCATATAACGGTAGTTTGTCCCTTTTTATTGAGGGAAAAGCAGACTCCCCGCTGAGCCAGGAGCCTGACGTGGGACTGGATCCCAGGACCTGGAGATCACGACCTGAGCCAAAGGCAGACACTTAACTATCTGAGCCACCAAGGTGCCCTAGACCTTTCCACCTCTTATAGAAGCATTCAAAACTACAACTTTTCTCTAAGCACTATTTTAACTATATACCATACATTCAATATACTGTATTTTTATTTTTATTCAGATTAGGACATTTTCTAATTTCCTTCTGATTTCTTCTTTGGCCCAGGAGTTATTTTGGAGTATGTTGTTTAATTTCCAAATATTCAAACATCTCCCAGAATCTTACAAAAGTTGATTTATAATTTAATAATGTCACAGTAAGTGAACATACCTGTATGATCTCAGTCCTTTAAAACACACTGAGACTTGTTTTATAGTCTAGTATAAGGTCTACCTAGGATAATTCTGATGTGGACTCAAAAACAATGTATATTTTTCTGTTCTGAGAATTGTTACATATGTATCAATCAGGTCAGGTATTCTCTAGTTACTAATTTTCTGTTCTGTTGTTCTATTGCTTACTGAGAGAAGAGTATTAAAATAGCCAACTATTATTACTGAATTTTTAAATTTCTTCCCTCAATTCTGTCGATTTTTGCTTATATTTTGGGGTATACACATTCACTTACATTCATTATACCTTTTTGATTAATTATTTTATTCAGTGTTAATACTATTAATAGATTTAATTACTAGTATCACTAGAAATAGTAGTTTGGTGGATATTTATCTCTTTCAGTACTCATTAACCCAGGGAATGAAGCTGTTGTATACACAGTAAATTCATATATCCAGAATAATAAAGGATTTGGAAGAGGTAGGTACCATGATATTGTGATATTGTGATTTATAGTAAGAAATATAAATTTGTCCTTCATCCCCAGTCCCTGACATGGGGTTCCTAAAACCCTTGTAAATTCCTAAGTGATAAGAGCATTAGGAACATCTTTTGTTCTAATGAGGTGATTCTGGGTGGGCTCCTGGATCAGGCTATCCCCACTTCTCTAGAGTGGGGAGAGGAGCTGGGAAAGAGTTAATAATTGATCACAGCTATATGAAGAAGCCTCCATAAAATTCCAACAGTATGGGGTCCAGAAAGCTTCCAAGTTGGTGAACACATCCACATACCGGGAGGATGATACCCACCCCCAACCCCACAGGGACAGAAGCTCCTGTACTTGGGACCCTCCCAGTCCTTGCCCTATGTAGTTCTTACCTGGCTGTTCGTCTGCATCCTTTATCATACCCTTTAATAAGCCGGTAAATGTCAGTAAGTGCTTCCCTGAGCTCTGTGAGCCACTCTAGCAAATAACTGAATCCAAGGCAGTGGGGGGAGGTCATGGGTCCCTCGAACTGATAGCTAAGACAGAAGTTGTGGGGAACCTGGGACCGACTACCTGTGACAGGCATCTGAAGTAGGAAGCAGTCTTGTGGGACTGAGTCCTTAAGCTGTGGGATCTGATGCTGTCTCCAGGTAGATAACTCAGTTAAATTGTAGGACACCCAGCTGGTGGCTCAGAAGTGCTTGGTGGGGTGAAACCCCCCTATATCTGGTGACCAGAAAGTGTTCTATGTGAAAGTAAAGGAGAAAGACACAGGAGAACTAGAGGCTTTTCCAAGCCAATAATTTTTCTTCGTTTTCTATATACATTTGAAATAAAGGCCAGTTTTTATTTTGCATTGGGACAACGTTGCCTCATCTACTTCTTTCCAATCCCCTTTCTCCTGACAGGAAGAAGTCCCTCCTTCTTTACCCTTTCTTAACTTCCTCTTTGGTTCAGTGGGGGAATCACTGAGCTCTAACCACTGGAACCCAGAAAAAAGCAGAATTAGCTTCAGTGGATCACTGCTCTGCTTTGTAGAGCATGCTCACACAGAGGGATGCCAGGGTCTAATGCCTTAACATTTTTCCCTCTCTTCATAGTTATTTAAGATCCTTTCATGTTCAGTATCATTTTGTTGCTCTCATAAACATGAAACAGAAGCAGTATTTTTACTATCCTCATTTCATAGATGATGAATGGTGATTCAGAGAGGTAATGTTAATGACTCCTAGGCGCACACTTAATAATTGTAAAGCCAGGCATTAAAATGAGGTTTCGTGTCTCCAATTCTTATGCCCTTTGCACTATATCATATCATATAGAAAACAAAACAGAGCAACTAGGTAGTACAGCTATTATTCATCAAAAATGTAGAGAGGTTGCACATGCCTCCAACCTGTTTGTATTATAATCCTGTAGTTAAAAGAATGAAAATGCTTATTTAGGGGGAAAAAATGGGTGGAGTGTGTGTGTCTCAAAGGCAAGAATATGGACACAAAATGTGTTGTGTCATTCTCCCCAATGACTTACCCTGTAGCCGATGTCTTCCAAGAGAGTCGATGTGCCCACAGGGGACTCTGCTTGCCACAGGGTCTCCTTGATGCTACAGCCATAAAGGAATACATTCTTCTTTTGAGAGTGGCCATGGAAATCACAGAAGACCTACAATGGCCAAACAGTGAGAGGGAAAAAAAATCCAGGTCGGGTCTATTGGTTTCTTCTCTCTTTTATTTTATTTTATTTATTTATTTGAGAGAGAAAGAGAGAGAGAGAGAACACAGGCAGAGAGGAGGGGCAGAGGGAGAGGGAGAAGCAGACTCTCCCACTGAACAGGAAGCCCAATGCGGGCCTCAATCCCAAGACCCTGGGATCATGAACTGAGCCGAAGGCAGACACTTAACTGACTGAGCCACCCAGGCACCCCAGGTCTATTGGTTTCTTAAATGTCTAAAGTGTCAACTTTCTCAGACAGATACTGTTTACTTAGCAGAACCAGTAGCATGAGGATCATTGGTGATCTTGGTAAGAGCTGTACTGGTAAAGCCAACCACTAGATCTGTGAATGAATCCATCTGGCTCAGACCCAAAGAACCACCCAGTTTACCTGGATGATTCTCACATAGTATCACTGGAAATAATGTGTAGTTTTTGCTTAAGCCACTAAGTTTTGGGGTTGTTTGGTATCTAGCAAAAGCTAACTGCTTCAATAAACTGTGTTCTTAATCTAAATATTTACTTCCCTTCCTTCCACATGTAAAATTTACTCATCTCCTCCCCAAGGAAGACTCCCTGAACAGCAGGGAATAGCAGAAAAATAGCAGAAAAGCAGGACGCCTGGGTAGCTCAGTCAGTTAAGCATCTGCCTTTGGACTATATCTAATGTTTTAAAAAGATTTATTTATTTATTTGAGAGAGAGAGAGTGTGAGAGACAGCGAGTATCAGAGGGGAGACGGAGAGACAGAATCTCAAGCAGACTTGGTGCTGAGCACAGAGACTGACGTGGGGCTCAATCTCACAACCCTAAGATCATGGGCTGAGCCAGAATCAAGTCAGATGCTTAACCAACTGAGCTACCCTGGCGCCACTGACTATGTCTAATTTTTAACTATTTTCATTTATGTGTATTTCTTGTTTGTGTCCTCTAAAAATTTTATTCCAACTCCAAGGTCATACAGAGTAGCCTATGTTGTTACCCCCAGGCCAATGTATTATTTTATCTCTCATATTACGATTCACCATCTGTGTGGAATTTATTTTTTAACATATTATGAAGTAGGGAGGTACATTTATTTTTATTTTCTACCTTTTTTACATAGGATCATAAGTCTTCCAAGACCATCTCTTTCCCACTGCACCACAGTATCAACTTTGTCATAAATCAAGGGACTATATATGGGAGTCCCTTTCTGGAATATCCGTTTTCCTCCATTGATTTATTTATGTGTTGTTTTATCAATAATACTGTGTATGAAATACTGTAACTTCAAAACAAGTTTTGATATCGCTACATAATTTGTCCAGTTTTCTCATTCTTTGTCAAGACTGCCTCAGTGATTCTTGGCTCTTTGCACTTCCAGTCTGGTTTGAGATCAGCTTGTAAGTTTCCACAAAATAAAAAACAAAACAAAACAAAACACCCTCTGTGGGTTTTGACTGAGATTGCATCGAACCCAGGTAGATAAATTTGCTCAGAATTGGCAAATTTTCATTTTTCTCAATAGTGTATCTTGCACATCTTTAAAGTTAGTCTTATGAGATTAATGCTTTCTGCTATTTTTAAAAAAGATTTTACTTATTTATTTGTCAGAGAGAGAGAGCACAAGCAGGAGGAGCGGCAGGCAGAGGGAGAGGAAGAAGCAGACCTCCTGCGTAGCAGGGAGCCTGATGCGGGGCTCAATCCCAAGACCCTGAGATCATGACCTGAGCCAAAGGCAGACCGTTAACCAACTGAGCCACCCAGGTGTCTACTTTTCTGCTATTTTAAATTCTATTTTTAAATTTAGATTTTTATTTGTACATTGATAGGTTATATAGGTGGACTTGACTTTTAGATATTGACATTCTAACCTCTGATTTTCTATGTTACAAAGACACTATGAAGAATGTGTAAAGGCAAACCAAAGAGTAAAAAAACCTATTTGTAATACATACATCCACAAATAAATATATATTTCTGTACATCAACAAGGAAAAGAGCGACAACCCATTTTTTTAAAATGGGCAAAAATCTTCAATTGACATTTCACAAAAGAGAATGTCCAAATGGCTATTAAGCAAATGAAAGTGTACTCAACCTCATTAATGTCAAGAAAATATAATTTGCATACCACAATGAGATGCCACTGTATCTAAGGGGTTATTAGGATGCTAATAACATGAAGACAGACAATGCCAAGTGGTGACCACAGTACAGAAGAAACAGAACACTTGAATCCAGTTTGTGGACAATAAATTGATAACACTCCTTTGGAAAATAATTCGCGAATGTCTTCTAAAGCTGAATAGTCACATAGTCTAGAAACCTCCCAACAGAAATGTATACACTGAGCACCAGAAGATATCAAGAATGCTGAGAACTTCCCTAATCTGGGGAATGAAACAGAAGATATCAAGAATGTACACACCAGGGGCTCCTGGGTGGCTCAGTCGTTAAGCGTCTGCCTTCGGCTCAGGTCATGAACCCAGGGTCCTGGGATCGAGCCCCGCATTGGGCTCCCTGCTCGGCGGGAAGCCTGCTTCTCCCTCTCCCACTCCCCCTGCTTGTGTTCCCTCTCTGGCTGTCTCTCTCTCTGTCAAATAAATAAAATCTTTAAAAAAAAAAAAAAAGAATGTACACAGCAGCACTATTTTTACTAGCTTAAAACTGTAAACAGTATAATGGACTAATTGTGGTAAAATCATTTGACAGAATACTGTTGAACACAGAGAATAAAAAAGCAAGCTAGACACGAAAGGGTACATCGAAGGATTTCTTTTTTTTTTTTTTTTTAAGATTTTATTTCTTTATTTGAGAGGGGGCGTGGAGAGCGAGCAGGCAGTAGGGGCAGAGGGAGAAACAGGCTCTCCGATGAGCAGGGAGCCCGATGCAAGGCTTGATCCCAGGCCCCTGGGATCATGATCAAGGATTTCTTTTATATGATGTTCAGAAACAGGCAAAACTAATACGGTGGTAGAAATTAGGGTAGTGTTTATTTTGGGAAGCTGGGTATTATTGTCTGATGTCTCTGGATTGCTGGTCATGTTCTTTTTCTTGATTTGGTTGGTGGTTGCATGGTGTGTGCATTTTGTGACAGTTTATCAAGCTGCACAGTTATGATCTGTGTACTTAAAATTAACAGACGATACTTACACATTGTGTGTTTCAAAAGAGACAGAAATCCTAATATTTTAAAGAAGTGTTTCCTCACATTGGCTCCTTAGTCTCTAGAAATGTAGCCTTTGCATATTAAGTTAAGGACACAGAATAGGTAACCGAAGGTGTTTGTCAAATTTAATAATGATGCAGAATTGAGGATAAGTGATGGCAGAGTAAACAAGAGTGGAAATTGTAAGTGGCAAAAAGAACAGAATTAGCAAAAATAGAAATATTTAAATTGGAATAAATATAATGTCCTACAATTAGATTCAAACAGTGGCCCAAGTGAAGGATAGACACAGTGAGCTAAGAAGTAGATTTCGAATGAGACATCCAGAGGTTTTAGATGGCAATTGGCTCAGAATGAATCAGAGGCCACAGATGTCAAAACTTAATCTAATCATAAATTGCTTCTGGAGAAGTGACCGTATACTAGAAGAACAATCCGTCCAATGTACCTCATATTGGCCAATTTATATCTAATATAGTGTTTCTCATTTCTGAGTGTGGCATTTTAGAAAAAGCCAGGACACCTCAATAAAGAGGAAACAGAAAGCCAAGAGAAATGGGAATGTTTGTGAACAAAGGGCAGCTAAAGATACTGCAGATGTTTATCCCAAAAGTAGAAAAGTCTCAAAGGGGTCTTGATAGGAGACCCATAAATTTCCAAATTCTCCCAGTTGGAATATAAATAATTGTACTTGCTATCATCTCAGAAAGCACAGGAAGGCAAAAGGAAGGATAATGTGGACATAGATTGCAGTTCTATATGAAATTCAACAGGTGTTGAATATCTATTCCTGGTGATAAATAACTCTCTCTAGTAGTAGCTCTCTTGATATGCTGTGTCACACTTTTAAAAACCTCCAGTGTCTGGAAATGTTTGAGCAGAAGCCAGATGAATGGCTATCAGTGATGTTGTTGGTTGAGAAGTTAGACTAGATGATGATTTTTTGATATGTAATAAAAGTCCTGAAGTTCACTGAGTGAGTAGGAAGCTGTTGACAGCAGGAAGGCAGCCCAGGACACTCGGGGTGCATGAATGAAGCCATAAACAAACACACATGTCAAAGAAAACTAAAGGGACCAGTGAGTTAATGATCTGCCCAGCCATGATAGGAGAAGAGGAAGACTAACTCTCTGATGACAGCTCAGAACTGAGAAGCCATGTTGCTCTGTTGGTGGGCCATGGGAGTAGGGAAGAATCAGTGGCGTCAGGACTGATTTTCTGGAAACAAGCTGGTTGCGGGGCAAGGAGGGCTGACTTGACTGGGAGCCAGAAGGCAGGGTTTTAGACCAAGTATGTACGAGATGAGGGTTTTAAGGACTAATGGACTTGAAATTATTCTCTATGTTCACCTTCCTGTCCTCCCTCCCTCTCTTTCTCTTAATTGTCAATAATAGACAGCTACTACTACATTGGGTTGCGGGGGGCGATGACTTTATGTTGTAAATTCCTTGTTAGCAGAAAAGTATTTAAGTATTTTTTTTCTCTCCAATAAAACAAGAAAAGAATTTTATTTTTTTTAATGTGGAATCCTTTATTCTTTTTTCAGGTTGAAGTCTTATGAGAAAATAAATCTCCCCAAGCTTCTAGATATCACTGAGCTGTGGGTACCAGAGCCAAAATGATAAGCAGATCTGGGAGGAGAGAGTCCGTCCAATGACAAGTCAAACCCCACACAAGACACAGAATGAAAGCACAGAAACAGTGAATAAGCACAGTAAGTTGTTCCCTAAAGAGTGGGGTCATCAAGAAAATGCACAGAGAAAAGCAGAAAACAGAAAATGTGGGGGTAGAAAGAG